TGCTGAACTATGGATGGTCTGCTCATATAAACTGGGCAATACAAGAATCATAACACAGCACAAGTGGCCAAAAAGGGAGATATGTTCTCTCAGTGATTGATTCAACATTTTTTCTAATTATCGTTAGTGTTTCAAGAAATAAATCAGTGCTATTATAAAAAGAAACTGAAAGAGCTATTCCATTAACCTTGGAGTGCTTCCATTAAAGAATGATTTTCAGCAGTTTTGTCACAGAAGGCAAGGCAAAATTTTTCTTGTCTGAGGAAAAGGAGGAGCAGGAAATTAGTGAAGCACCCCACATTAAGCATTCTGAAAGGTCTCAGAAATAGTTTTCTGCTGGATAAACAGATTTAGTATGAGCAACAGCTGACCCAGTTTAAAAAAATAAAAGAAAAAAAGCTGAGTATGCAAGTAGTATATTTATGCTTCTTTCCGGCTTCCTTTTAGATTATGATTGTAGACAATGATATTTATTTAAATCATAGAACTCCTGATTTGGTTTCAGGAGTCCTCTCATTGCCAGCCAAGTTTAACACACTTCTGCTTCACAGTGATTTTCAAGGTTAGCTACGTTCCAGATTAAAGAGTTTAGGTTTCTTTTTTTAGTATAGAGCTAATATGACATAAGACATGAAATAAAGACTCAGTCTTAAAAACTTGTAATCAGAAGGAAAGCACAGAAGACAAACCAGAGATGGTGACTTTCAAGAGAAATGAGAAGTTCCATAATCAGAAAACTACTGGCTCACAGGAACATTTACAAAGATTAAGAAAATTCTCACATGAACATACAAACAAGGGGATCTCTAGGAAAAGAAAATACTTCAATAATTCATTTTAAAGATAGGTAAGCTTGAGACTACAAATTTCTATGTGGACAAGATTAATTTAAATGGAAGTGCACCATTATAAAAACTGTAACCAACAAAAATTGTGATGAAAAGAATGAACAGAGTCCTGAAGCACGTAAGCAGGATCAACTTCAGATTTGACATTCAGCTGACAAGCTTTAATGGCAATAAAATAAGGGGATGGAGAAAGGAAGAAGCAGAAACTTGAAAAGGAAGCCTGGAGTCCAGTGTTAACCACGGCAAATTTGAATGAATGGTCAAACATCACAACAAACATAATAATAATGATAATAAGACAATAACAGCAACAACCCACAATGCAGGAATTCTTACCAAGCCAAAGATCAGTTTCAAGAACTGGGAAAAAAAAAAACACTCCATGGTCATGTCTTGCCTTCCTACGTGATCCACTACATCTTACCATTCCAGTCCTTGACTGCCAGATTCTGCCTGGCACTGGGCCATAGCACAGGACAAACATCCAGGCTGGAAGGGACAGGAGGGTTGAGTGTAGGATACTAAGAGTTTTAACCAGGCTGGTCTTGAAAACCACCAAGGATGGAGACCTCAAAGCCTTCTGTGCAACCTCTGTGCCTCCTGCAACACTGATAAAAATCCGGATGTAGAGTTCACAGCTGATAAGCACACACACATATGCATGGCAAAATGTTCCTGGTTTCTCTTATGTAGGTTGCTTGGGTTCAAACTGACTGGGATTAAGGAGTGTGAGTGGTGTTTGATCAAGAAACTAAAGAACCAATGGAGTTGGAAGGGACCCTTAAAGTTCATCTGGTCCAACTCTCCTGCAATGAACAGGAACACTTACAGCTACATCAGGTGCTCAAAGCCCCTCCAGCCTGGCCTTCAATGTCTCCAGGGATGGGCCATCCACCACCTCACTGGGCAACCTGTGCCACTGCCTCACTACCCTGATTGTAAAATATTTCTTCCTTGTATCCAACATCTAAATCTTCCCTCTTTTAGTTTGAAACCATTTTCTCTTGTCTTATCACAGCAGACCCTGCTAAAGTGTCTGTTCCCTTATTTCATACAGCCTCCCTTTTAATACTGCAAGGCTGCACTCCGGTCTCCCCAAAGCCTTCTCTTCTTTGGGCTGAACAGCCCCAGCTCTCTCAGCCTGTCCTCATAGGAGAGGTGTTCCATCCCTTGGATCATTTTTGTGGCCCTCCTCTGGACACATTCCCACATCTCTGTCTCTCCTGTACTGAGGACTCCACATCTGGATGCTCAATACTCCAGGTGAGGTCTCATCAGTGCAGAAGAGAGGGGCAGGATCACCTCCCTTGCCTTGCTGGCCACACTGCTTTTGATGTAGTCCATCATACAGTCGGCTTTCTGGGCTGTGAGGGCACACTGCTGGTGCATGTCCACCTTACCACCCACCAGTACCCCTAGGTCCTTTTGGCAAGGCTGTGTTCTATCCTTACATCCCCCAGCTTGTACTCGCAATGGGGATTGCCACTACCCAGGTGCAAGACCTTGCACTTGGCTTTGTTGAACCTCATGAGGTTCATTTGTGTCCTCTGCTCTAGCCTGTTTAGGTCTCTGCATGGCATCCAGTCCCTCAGGCATGTTGACTGTATCACACAGCTTAGTGTCATCCACAAAGTTGCTTAGGGTGCACTCGATTCACATAATCACAGAAACACCAAGGTTGGAAAAGACCCACAGGATCACCCAGTCCAACCATCCACCCATCACCAACAGTTCTCACTAAAAAATGTCTCTCAACAGAAAATCCAAACGTTCCTTGAACACCTCCAGGGTCGGTGACTCCACCACCTCCTCGGGCAGCCCATTCAGTGCCTGACCACTCTTCCAGAGAAGTAGTATTTCCTAATGTCCAGCCTAAATCTCCCCTGGCACAGCTTGAAGCCATTCCCTCTAGTCCTATCACCAGTTACATGAGAGAAGAAGCCGACCCCCAGCTCACTACAACCTCCCTGCAGGCAGTTACAGAGTGCAATGAGGTCTCCCCTGAGCCTCCTCCAGACTGAACAATCCCAGCTCCTTCAGCCGCTCCTCATAAGCCCTGCGCTCCAGACCCCTCACCAGGTTTGCGGCCCTTCTTTGAACCCGCTCCAGGGCCTCAATGACTTTCTTGCAGTGGGGCCCAAAACTGAACACAGCACTCGAGGTGCAGCCTCACCAGAGCTGAGTACAGGGGATGATTCCACTGTCAGTGTCACAGATGAAGATGTTAGAGCAGCAGGCTCAGTACTGACTCCTGAGGGACATGCCTCATCACCAGTCTCCATCCAGACATTGAACCATTGACCACCACTCTCTGGGTACATATCTTGGTCTATCTTGTAACCAGTTCCTCATCCATTGAACAATCAACCTGTCAAACACGTATCCTTCCAATTTGAATAGTAGGATGTTACAGGAGACTGTGTCAAAAGCCTTACTGAAGCCCAGTGTCTCTTTCCTTGTCCACTCACACCGTTTCATCATCACAAAAATCAACAAGTTTGGTCAGGCAGTACCTACCCCTAATGAAGCCATGCTGGATATCCCGTATCACCTCCCTCACTTCCCCATATCTTAGCATAGCTTCCAGGAGGATCTACAGTCTACTCCATGGTCTTCCACACCACCAAAGTGAGGCTGACAGATTGGTAGTTCCCTGGCTCTTCTTTCCTATCCTTCTTAAACACAGGTTTGACACTGCCTTTCCAATCACCAGGAACTTCACCTGACAGCCACTATTTTCCACCAATACCTTGAGGAACACCACCTGCAAATTAGCAGGGATAGAACAGACTGGAAAAAAAATGAAGGCCTAGGATGAAAGTGGAGACAAAGAACTTCCGACAGTGAGTGCAAGCAGTTGGCTCAGTGTGCAAACTCCACAGGAAACCCTGAAGTTTGAAGATAAGCAGGATGGATACGAAGGAAGGCAAGAGTCTGGATAGGGGTAGTGGAAGAAGTGCAGCACAAACAAGAAACCCTCGTGTTTCCAATAGGGTATCAGTGTTGTTCCTGCTAATAGAGACAGGAAGGATAAAAGCAAGCAAGATTACCACATGAGATTAAACTATTATAGTTATTGAGATTCTGGGTAAAAATCAAAGTGGGAACAGAAATAAGAAGTCGAAAGACTGAAGCCATCGTGACAGGGTTGTGGTCACAACTGTATGTCTAGCTTAGCTCCAGACACCAATAAGCTGAACCAGCAGGCTGCCAGTGCTGGAGAAGGTAAGAAGCAGATTAGTTGTGGAAATTCAGTGTGGCAGAGGAGCAAAGGAAGAAGGTCTCTGGGAGGAATCCTGCCACAGAGATTTTGGCAACAGGGCTGGAGAGCAAAGCCAAGGCAGGACAGAGAGAGGAGACAGCAAACATCACAGAGACTTCAGGTGTGGAACAGAAGAAACCTCAACGCAGCTGTGTCCTGTTCAAACATGGCCAAATAGCAGGAACACTTTAGGGTGGTCCACCTGATTCTGTCAAGGCTCCAGACCCTGACATGGACACCTAAGGCACCGCTCCTCAGCTTCACAGCTCTGACACTACCACACGCACCAGCCAGAACCACTGGGGGTTTCAAACTAAAAGAGAGAAGATTTAGATATTGGATATAAGGAAGAAATATTTTACAATCAGGGCAGTGAGGCAGTGGCACAGGGCTCCCGGAGAGGTGGTGGATGCCCCATCCCTGGAGACATTGAAGGCCAGGCTGGAGGGTCTCTGAGCACCTGATGGAGCAGTGGGTGTCCCTGTTCATTGCAGGGGAGTTGGACTGGATGAACTTTAAGGGTCTACAGCTGTCTGCTGCACGTGGGACCTGAGGTGCCCTCTTACCAAGCCTACTAGGAAACTCACCCTACATCTGCCTCGCTTGGAGCAGCATCCCTCACCCTGCTGAACGGCACAGAGCAGCAGGAGAGCCCAACTCCCTTCCTCCCCCCACCCGGACCGCAAACCCCCGTCTCCCCTCGCACCGCTCCCACCAACCGCCTCCTCAGCCAGCAGAGCCGGGGGGCGTGGCCACATTGGCTTGGGGGCGTGGTCACGCGAAAGGGGCGTGGCCACGGTAATATGAGGCCGTGGTCACACTAATTTGGGGGCGTGGCCAAGCGGAGTGGGGCGGGGCCCACGTGTCGCGGCCGGGCGCGGAGCGGGTGGCAGCAGGCGGCGGGGTTGCGGCATCTCGCCCGCCCCGCGCCGGGTACCGGCACCGCCTGTTGCAACGCGCCTCCTCGCTGGTAATTATCCTCGCGCCGCTGGTTTCTTTTGATTTATTATCATAATTAAAAGCGATATTTCCCACGAGGGGGGGGGGAAGCAATAAAAAAGCGACCCGCGGCCGCTTATGCAGGTAGGAGCCGCTGCCGGATCCGTGCGGCTCGGTGCGGGGTTAGCCGAGGGCGTGCGGGGACCGAGACCGGGCGGCAGGGCTGGGGGCTCAGCCCCGGTGTGAGAGCGGTGTGCGGTGACGGTGCGCTACGGGCGACCGGACCTGGTGGAAGAGTTAGCAGTGAGGGACACGGAGGTGCGGGCTGAGGGCAAACGCTGCTGGTAGCTCGGTTGGATGGGAGTGGGTATGGGAAGTGATGATACACTCTTGTGCCATCCTTCTGTGTCCCAAACTGCCTCAGCGATACTTTGAAATCTCAGCGTTTGTTCCTTTTTATCCACAGAGTCCCCCAAAAGACAACTCCTTTATAAACAGTGCTTGTTTGGAGAATATCTGAAGGTCGTTTCTTTGACTCGCTCTGGAAGTGGAGAGAAGCTGTTTGCATGTTGCAGATGACTCTGCTGTTTGTCCCCTGCCTGCAAGGTTATAACGCTTTCTCCCCAGAGTGGCAGCAATCGATGTCCCTCCCTGCACTCCCTCTGCTTCTGCTCCTCCCTTGGGCGTGGGTAAAGGTCAGTGAGGGGTGTAGGATGAGGGAAAAATTCAGATCTCCTTCTACAAATGAAACCATGTAAATGAAATCAAAGGTATGGCCGCATCCCGCATAGCAGACGCCAGCGGGGAATTATTTATGTGAGGCACTGAGGCATTTACATTCATTTTATGTAATCATCACTCAAGGATCAATACTGTGCCCCAGTGATTCATTTGATCGTTTGTTCCCATGCTAAGCATTGCAAGATTAAAAACAGGGCGTCACAGCTCAGAGATACGTCTGACATCCGCACTGTCAGCTCTCCCATGTTGGGCTATGAGCTGATTGGGGCAGGACCCGCCATGTCACCATCTCTGCACAGCTTTGACATTGATGTCCCCATGGAGGTTTGGCTACTAGGGACTATGGGTGACTGGTGGGAACCCCCTGTAGGTCCATCCTGGTGCTTTGCGAGAGGTGGGATGGGGTGACTGATGGCACCTTGGGGTCAAGTAGGACCAGAGCAGGCACCTGGGACTGGGAATCCATGAAAGTGATGCCCTTGAGGAAACCTAACAGCATAACAGAAGGAGGCTGGAGTCCTCCTACTGAAACCTTTTATTTGTGTTGTTGCTGTTGACAACATGGCACTGGGCTGTGGTCTTCCCTTTGTAGGATTTGGTGAGCAGCAGTAGGTGTAATTAAACAAACCTGTGCTAAAACGTGTACTTCCTCTACAGCTGAGTGCTGCCTTGAACAGGGTTTGTTGTTGGCTGAGCCCCACTGCACCAGGTGTTGTGGGAGTGAGCCAGTGGTGCAGGTGATGATGACAATGTGGCAGTGCAGCCTAGCAAGGCTCTGGCTGGATGGAGCCTTTTGGGTAGGTGCTGGTTGGTTGGATGTTCCACATGGATGGTTGGATGCTTCCACAGTGGTAATCACAGATAACCACCAGTTTTTTCTCTTGAACATAGGGTCCTTCATCGGAAGTTATATTATTTTCCTTCATATTGCAGAACCCACACTTCAGTTTTGTGGCTGGGTGAGATAAGTACCAATCAAGTACCAGTGTGGGTTACCAAAACAAAGTGATACAATCAGAGAAAATTCTAGACTAGCACGATGGAAGTCTGCCTACTGACCTTTAGTGTTGGAGCCATAAGGAACACAAATGGAAACTGACAAATTGGTAATAGCATTATGAGGCCGACAAGAGGGATGGTTTTCTGAATTGTTGGTGTAGTGTGCGTAGGAAATATTTCCTGCTTTTCTCTTTGTATTTTGCTTTTCACAAACTCTCCCTGGGCTTCCTGTGAACAGACGCCCATCCCAGCCACCTCTGGTGTGCTACAGATTTGGTCTTGCTTGGGGACCTGAGTATTAGGGAGCGGAAATACTGTCTATATAAATGTCTGCTATGTGTAAGCTTCCTTTTTTCCTTCCCCCTGTCTGTGATCTGGTGGCCCTTCATATTTGCCATGCTTGACAGAAGCCAAGAGTGTACGCTTGTGACTCAGAAGGTTGGCAGTATCCTGGCCTGCAACAACAGAGGGGCTGTCAGCAAAGACTGGGAGGTGATTGTCCCCCTCTGCTGTGCCCTTGTGAGGCCCCATCTGCAATAGTGTGTCCAGGCCTGGGGCCCCCAGTACAAGATGGATACAGAGCTGTTGGTGTGGGTCCAGAGGAGGGCACTGAGATGATCAGAGGGCTGGAGCACCTCTCCTATGAGGAAAGGTTGAAAAGTTGGGTTTGTTAAGCTTGGAGAAGAGAAGGCTCCAGGGAGACCTCATGGCAGTCTTCCAGTACTTAAAGGGAGCTTATAAGCAGGAGAGGGACTGAACTTTATACACAATCTGATAGTGATAGGACAAAGATTATGGTTTTAAACTGAGAGACGGGAGATTTAGATCAGATACTAGGGGAAATTTATTTTACTCGGGGGGCTGTGAGGCACTGGAACAGGCTGCCCAGAAAAGCTGTGGGTGCCCCATCCCTGAAGGCCAGGTTGGATGGGGTTCTAGGCAGCCTGAGCTGCTGGGTGGCACTGCCCATGGCAGGGGTTGGAACTGCATGGCCTTTAAAGTCTCTTCTGACCCAAACCATTCAGTGATTCTGTGATTTACAGTGTGTTCACTTCCTCCTCTCTTACTGTCACTTAATCAGTATTTTGAATAAACCATATTTACGTTTTAATCTACTTTAGCCATATTTAATGTGTTCTTATTGTCATTATCCTTACACTTTTTTTTTTCTTTCTTTTTTTGGTGTTTTTATTCTGCATCTCTACTTAATGTATTTCCTGAACTAACGTTTTCCAAGCTCAAATTTATTTGTTTGTTCATTTTCATCACTGAACTTTTAGTATTTGTCTTCTTCCCTGTTGTGATATATTAGCATTAGTAGACTGTTTCTAGATTGTGAATGCACACCTTTGACAACTATGGTTTCAGGAAGCCATGGAAGTAGTTTCATAAGGTTTTCTTCTGCAAACAAAACTTCAGAATAAGGAATAAGCATTTCATTTCATCTTTACAAGCCATTAACCTGCAGCATGTTGATCATTTGCCCAGAGAGGTTGTGGATGCCCCATCCCTGGAGGCAACCAAGGGAAGGCTGGATGTGGCTCTGGGCAGCCTGATCTGGTTGTTGGTGACACCGCACACAGCAAGGAGGTTGAAACTAGATGATCATTGTGGTCCTTTTCAACCCAGGCCATTCTATGATTCTATGATTTTGGGTGATACCACATGGAGCCAGGAGTTGGACTTGATCACTGTGTGGGTCCCTTCCAACTCAGGATATTCTGTGATTCTATGATTTTGGCTGGGAACAGTCATACATATGAGCTAAGAAAGCATGCATGTTTTTACATCAGAGAAGCCTCCTTCATTGAAGCATTTCATTTTCACATCATCCACTGAGCAGATGTGGGTAGATGACTCCTGAGGTCCCTTTTTATCAAGATGTCTGCAGACTTTTCTTCTCAGCCTGTTTATACTTGGTACTCTAGGATGGAAGGGTATGGTTAAAACTTGTATCATTGTCTTTGGGACAGCAGAATGGCAGCACATACCTTCCACATTACACTGATGTCAATGAATCCATAAATTTTTTGAAAAAAGGTCACTATGATTTCTGGAATTGACTTTCCCAAATACAAAGCATGGTAAAACTGCAGTCAAAAGATAATTGTTTCAAAGACTTCAGTATTTTACAAAATAGCTTTGTTCCTGTAAACAGAAATAGCTGTATTTCCTATCAGAGGATTTTCTTCGCTCAGTACAGTTCCTGTCATCTTCCTGTTATGTTGCTTAATCTGGAAATAAAGCACACTTCTAAACTTCTCTAAATGTATAATTTATTCTTTTTTTTTTTAAACAAACATTGCCATGTTAGAATGGAATTGCTATCCCTGCCAATGGCAATATACATATATATATATGGGGAAAAGTTCTATTTATTGCATCCGCTGATAAAAGGCAGCCAGTGTGCTGTGGAACTGAGTGATATTATTTTGTACTGAGGAAAGCGTGTAGCTGAAAAAGTGCAAGAGCTGCTGTTTTTTGTTTTGTTTTGTTGGTTTTTTTCATAGTCTTATGCACAGATCACGTTAAATAGCAAAGATGCAAAAAAGCAGCAAGTATCTTCTGTTATGGAGAAGTTTCAAGTTGAATCATCGAAGACACGTATCTAAGATTAGGTACTTCTTTGTTTCAGGATTATGAGAAGCTACATGAGAACATTCTCCAACATTTTTTATAAACAGAAGTTTCTGGATGACTGGAAAGTTGTCAATATAGTTTTTCTTCTGTTGCTTATGGGAAGAAATTGAAAGATGAGGTTTCAGTGGATCTTCTAGGCAAACGCTTCTTAGCATTTACAAGAAAATAAATCATTTAAGCCATATGTTGAAATGTCAATTCAAGCTTTATAGCCTTTTTGAAAATTTGAAAGCATCTGTGCTCCTAAGTGTCAGTAAAATTTTACAGCATTTATGCCTGGTTGTATACCATCGTGACTTGCTGATGTGCTGTAAGGAGGAATATTAAGTACAGATTGTGGTATTTTACTCATGCAATACAAATGCTTGAAAATTTAACTGGTGCTTATTGGTTAAGTTTGGCAAACTATTGTTGATTCTTCCCTGCCACATCTATTTGCTTTTTTTATGACCTTATTTTTTTCACTTGTGTATGTGGGGTCAGAGTTTTCAAAACAAATTGTGGCTTTCAGAGTACCCAATTTAAGACAGGGAAGTAAAAACAGAGAAGTCTCTGGAAAATGCTGATCAGTTGCTGTCAGTAAGCTGTACTCTGTAAGGTCCCAGAGAACAAAATGCATTAGGCCTTCTGAAAGGTTCTTCTCATAAGTCTTCCATATCCCAACATCAGCATTTGTGATTTTTCACTCAGGATTAAAGCAAATAGCAAAAATTACACAAGGTGCTTGAATGAAGTTTTGGGGGTACAGGAAGGTCATTTGCGTGTTTGTGACTTAATCTGCTTAGCTTTAATGAACAAAGCTAATCAGAGCTGCGATTAAAACAAGGAGTGTGAGCAATAGGTTGCAATCTCAAAACACACATTTTTACTGATGAATAAAATGAAGTAGTTCAAGTGTTCCTTTAAAAAAAACCTTTGTTTCTCTTAGCAGTTCTGCATTAAGAAACACCCAACTTGCCATTTCTGGGTGTGCTCTCCCAGTGGCTTGGGCTCTGCTCAATAGAAGAGCAGATACTTTCTGGTAACACCTATGCAGCTACTCCTAGGACTAAAATGCTGCTGTGTGGACTGTTATCTACCAGTTTGAGTGAATGTAGGCAAAACCACTGATTGCATTTCCCTTGCTAAATGTCTGAAATTAGTGGAAAACATCCTCCTCACTGGTAGACCCAACGCCAAATGCCTAACAAGTGGGCTGGTTGGGTTAGTCTAGCATAACAGTGCGG